GAATCCCTCAAAGGAGGACAGACATCACTGCTTGGATTTGCACAGCTTTCCATCAGAAGCAGATCACTTTGGTATTGGCAAAGCAAAACTTGGCAGAATGCAGCTGCTTTTGCCCTCACAGGTTCCCAGCTTCACACACAGTGGCACTGGCATGATAATACAAATAACATCCTTGATTAAAACAACTTCACTGCCTCCATTCAAAAAAAAGACATAACCTGACCCTCCCAGCTCCCAGCTAATCAAGGAAGTCACCCAGGAGCAGAGGAACTTCTCATCCCTTAGAGTTATCCGTGTTCTTGCAGTGCAGAGGTCAGGCTGTGGCTTCACCCCACTGCAACCAGAACAAAAGGCAGCTGCCTGCTGATCTTGGGGGTATTTCTCTGAAAGACTGCGCACTACCTGGTGATCTACAGCTCACATCCACCATATCGGTTCTGAACTCAGGTGGCTTCCATCCTGCCGAATGCCAATGTCACCCTCCTTCATTAGTGCAGGGACAGTGATTATCTACACTGACGACTAGGCTCGTGGATTTGTTTGGTGGGAGCAGCCCCAGAGCTGAGCTCGGGTCCCTCCCCATTTTATCCTTCAGGACAAGCACCAGCCCTTCTCCGGTATCTGAATGGCCCTTACATTTCTGGGGCCAAGATCTCAGTTGGGTCTCTAGATATTTTAGCAATACAAACAAATTATAAGAGTACTGTGTGGTACTCTACAGATTGTTGTGGGTTTTGTCGTTGTTGTTGCTGTTTTTTAAAAATATGTAACACGACCATGATGAATGAGGCTTGTATTATAGAGGATAAATACACACATGAATTTACCATTTCATCACACATCTCTACTGTAACTATTAAACACAGCTGCTGTGAACATTTCCTATTGCCTTGCAGTATTTTGCAGTAAATCAAAGTAATCTGCATTACAGTACAAGGTTTCACTGCAATCGCAAGGAATTTTTCAATTGCTTCTCTTGCATTTCAACTGAGATCATTTAGCTGAAGTTATGAAACACGCATTAGCGATTAATGCTTCCAAGATTCCACATTACTGTCAAATCACTAATACATTACCTTTCATAATCTAATTTGTTCACACACTAAAATACACAGAACATGCAGAGCTTAGCAAATGGCCTTCTAAAATGTCACTTTTTTTTTTTTTTTTGAATTATTCCTTAAAGGGAAAAGTAACACCCCTGCAAGCATCTAGAAAATCGTCCCAGTGCCCTCTTCTTTGGGCAATCTTCTCTCGGCCTTTTGTGCATTGGCTTCAGGGCTTGACAAGGCACAGAGCTGCACACGCTTTGCTCCAGTGAGACATGGTGAACCTTCCCCAAGCACTGACTGTGCCAGCAGCATCCCCCCTGGAGAAGCACGGAGAAATCTTAACAGAGAGAACCAGTGCACCAGGTATAAAGGGGCTGATCAGAACTGCCATTCACCCCGAGTATCCCCTCTGACTTTTGGAGGGAAGAATAAAAATCATCAGATGGTTCCTGCCCTGCTTACACAGCAGCCAGCATTTCCAGCTTAAACTAGGATACCTTTCAGTGTGCCAGGGTTTGGGCTATTGAACAGTTAGGAAGAAGGTGGGTTGGGGAAAAGAATAGGATTTATTTAAAAAACTAAACATACGCACATGTGCCCTGTGGAGCAAGCATTTAGGAAGTAAAGAGGTACGTGTCACAGACCAAGGCTGTTCTATTAAAAAAGCACACAGCAGTACTACACAGTATGAAAAAAGCGAGAGCAGAGGTAAAAAATCAGGAAGAGTTCAGTTTTCAGCAGAATCAGAGCTTCCCCTCTGAACCCAGCATAACAGCTGATATTTCTTCATCGAATGGCCAAGGAAGAAAGAAAAAAAATCAGGTTATGAAGTTGGCTGTAAAGAGGAGAAGGAGAGGAAGGGCTGACCAAGCAGCAGGCACTTCAGACATCCTCCTCCTCCTGTCTCAGCTGCACGGAGGCAGGTGTGTCCTGGGAGCACGGAGGAGGGCTGCCTGCTAGATGCATCAGGGCTGTCGGGACAAAGGAGACCCAGTAACGAGAAACGCGTTGACACCCACATAAGAGACATGAGAAATGAGCAGAAGATGGAAATATGGTGGGAGGAAGAATATAGAGGAGGGAAAAGTGTACGGATTGATCTAGAATGGGACAGGGAGAGAAAACAACCAGCCATTGTTGGTGGAAAGGGGAAGAAGGCCTGGGTATTCACAAGGAGATGGGCGGATGTAATAAAATGCTGGCAAAAGCAGTTACAGAAGATGAAATGAAGGATAGAGCTTGGGAATCAGAGGTTAACAGGGGCTCATGGCTAACACAAAGCAAATTGCACAGACAAAGCATTTTCTCTCATCCAGCAAGGTTCTGATCAGCACGCCCTTATGTTTTCCCAGACAAGCAAAGATCTGCAGTCATCCTCAGCGTAAAAATAAATAAAAATTAAAGCCACGTTTGTGTAAAAGCTCTGACATAATTTTGTGAAAGCTCAAACCCTCTGCTTGAAATGCTCAAAGGCCTCCCAAAACCTGTGTGTCCTTCAGATTCTTCCCCCACCTCCTCTCTCCAGACCAAGTGCACGAGCAGTGCCTGCCCTTCCCAGGTCCTGCCGCTGACACCCGGGGATCAGCTTTCAGCCTGTGCTCTGAGAATGAGGTTAAGGGATGGCATTTCAGCAGCCCAGGCTCTGCTGGCTTTGGGAAATCTGGGAGGGCATAGCTGGAGACACGCCACTGACTGGCACACAGGGCTGCCATACCCCAAACTTGGAACTCTATGCATGAATAAGGGGGACGCACCTGTCTCTTTTATGAAATAGAGGTAAAGCCCTTGACACCACTCCCACCTGCATTTGGAGGCTCTTTACACACCTTTGGTGACTGAAGAAATGAAGTCAGATTTCTGGACTGAAGTCAAAAAAAGAAAAAAAGCAACCTGAGCCCTACTAAGGCACAGACCGCTGGCTGTACATGGTGCTCAATACAAAATCTTGCACAGGAAGTTGGTCTTGAGCATATAACATTGCAACAGAGCTAAAAATAAATAAATAAATACATACATAAATGGCTATATTCCTGCTTTTGCCACAGGCCGTTTTGACCTCAGCTCTCACCATCCACACAAGAAACAAGGTTTGACACCACTCTGAAAACACAGCCATGGCTGATAGGGCAGCACTCCAACACTACGCTGCCATGGCACAATGGGATGGTTGGGCTTTGTGCGTGTGTTTTGTTGTGTGTGTGTTTTGTAACTGCCTATTAAAGCTGTACATTCACGTGGCATGTTTCATCACAGCCTAATTGCTTCATTTCTGTTAACAGTTCAGCCTGATCCAAGAGATGACTGCACTCAGCTGCTCTTGCAGCCCTGGCCTCTCCATGCATCGCCCAGCGTCCTCCTGCTAACGTGGCTCATCGCTTCAGCTGGTTCAAGTAACAGGCGTGAGGTGGAGCCCCCAACACCTCTCATCTTTGTGCCTGCTCACCTGCAGTCTGTAACCCAACAGAAGGACGACAGATGACTCCTTAAATGACAAGCAGGCAATGTGCAGCACGAAGAGACCTGCCCAGGCTGTCAGCTGGTGGGGATCGCTGCGTACGGAGGCAGGATTTTGCGTAGGGTTGGTCCTCGATCCTCTGCTTAAATGGCTTCACTCGGTCTTTGACCTCAGCAGTACTGAGCACAAACAAAACCTGCACTAAAGACGGTGAAATATGGTGCCCAACTGACATCGCTGCAGGACAGCGAGGTAAATGACAGCAAGGGATAACACGAGACAGCCTGTAGGAAATAAGCAACTGTCAGCACTCATACGAGTGATAAAGATATATATTTTTAAGTGTGTATTTACACAATCTCAGATATCAGAAGCTGGAGCTAGCCGCATCATGCTGGCTTCACAGTTGCTACAAGGGGGAAAAAAAAAAAAAAAAGCAAAATGTTCTTTCTTACAGAGAGGAGGCAGCAGTATAAAAATACACAGCCTTTTATTAGTTGAATCACCCTTGCCGTATCCCTGACCTAGGGATATTTGTACCTAATGTTTTCAGGGAGATAATTTTCACAGCATACCTCAGCTTCTTAGAATGCTCTCGGAGAGCAAAGTCAATCCTAGGTCACTATTCCAGTGTAGTTTCCTTTGTACTAAATCCTACTTTCAAGAAAATTCTCGCCATGGTTCAGTGGTATTTAACCTATCATATAATATCCAGGTTTACTGTGTTAGAAGAAGCAGAACAGTATTAAGCTTTTCCCACAAGCCTGTGATTGCATTTGACCCAGTAACCTGTATTAGATTAACATTTATTCTACAACTCCACAGCAAGCCTTGGACCTGGCTGAGCAGCAGTTTATAGAGGACACTAACCATTTTTACAAGTGGAGCAGGAAAAGGGAATTGAATCTGAGGGAGTAATTCCAAGCAAGTATGTTGCCGCAGCGGTTAAATTGTTTATACGAGGAGTTGGGGAATTACATCTGACTGACCTCTCTTTTTATCTGCTTAAAAGACAAAGTGCAGGTCTCCATGGCAAGTGCTAACTCCTGGGGAATGCAGTATAAAAATGCATCATGGCAATAGAGCCTCAATACCCACCAAGGAGGGAGACCTTCAAAGGAATGTAAGCAAGTTAAATTCGCCAGGATTAGAAAGGTTTGCACGTTAGTCAGCCTCCGAGCAGGTTCACAAGCATTCCTCCTAGACTTGCCAGGCAAGTTGGGAGTGCAAGGTGGGGGGATGAGGGGGAGCGTGTTGCTTTTTATTTATTTATTTTGCTTTGCATTAACCTTAACCTCACGCTAGTTTAGCCAGAACAGGATTGTTACTGTCAGCATTTAGAACAGAGAGGGCCAAACGCTGCGCTCCATTGACTGATTAAATCCTCCGAGGACTTGAGTTCATACAGTTGAAACTGCTTCTAAACACTATTGAAAACAGGTTGCGTCCTAAAAAAAATCTGGCAGGAAAAGCACTAGGGCAGGTTAAGCTACAGCAGGAAATACACAGGGCCCTTCCATTTATGAACTCAGAGGGTCAGATGCTGGGCAGAAGAATTAGCATGACCAAACTTTATTACACATGAAGCTCCCAACATACTGAAACACGTTCTGCTTATTAGCACCTTCATCTCACCTGCCTCTTACACCACCAGTGCTACACAATTAGTAGTTGTGTTAAAAAAAGGGTCACATTAGGAAAGGAATCAAGTGAATTTCTAATTCTGACCCATTTCTTCAAGTCAAAAAAAGAACACTCAGCTGCTTGCAAAATGAAGTTTGCTCCCTGAAAATATTGATGTAGCTCAAGTGGTATAAACTCAGTCTGGGGTTTCAGAGTTCAGCACTTAAAAATGAGACAAGGGGAAGGGTGGGAAAAGAAAACCATCACCAGAATTGGCATTCAGGGGTGGCTTACAGATTCAGTGAATGAACCCAAGAAGGGGAATATATAAATAAAACCCCATATTCAGAAGTTCTAGCAAGCTAGACGAGAAGCTCAAAGACACCGTGCCATCCATCACGTCCCCCTCATCTGCTGAAGACAAGTTTTCAGCTCATGCAGGCTGCTTTGACTCAAGTTGTTGTGCTGCTTTGCGACAAGGAGGAATTGTGCTGAGGGAGATCCTGTAAACAGACGAAAGCAGTGGTGAGCTTGTCTGGAGTCAGACTTGCTAGGATGTCACAGGGAAAGCTCCTAGCTTGGTGTAGGTTTGTGTATTTTACGCAGGACACAGACAGGCGCTCTTTGAAGTGCATAATTGTAAGTAAAAACAAATGAAATACCACTTAAAGGCAGGGAAAGGCACACGTGCTGGAACTGCACCCAAATCCTTACATCAGTTTTCTGGTCGTCTAAGCCAGAGCACAAAACTTCCAGGAAGGCTGTAAATCCCAGATCCCGAGGAATTCAAAAAGGATATAAATTGTGACCTGTTTATGGGATATTTACCTCTGCTTGGTGCGGCTGTTTAGGCTCAGCAGCACTGAGTCACTCTGACCCTATTCCGTTCAGGAACCAGCCCAATTAAAGGCTGATGAATCCATCTCTTTACACCACAATCAATAGGAGCGATTCGGCAGCTGTCGGGGCCACGCAGTGACTTGGCACCACGACGACTGTCCCCCCTGCCCAGTTTCATACCCGTATGACATCAAGGGCAGGTGGAACCTGGAGGCTTAAGCCTGTGAAGCTCCTGCTCCTTGCCCCAGAGAAACTGAGGATTTGGCCTGGGCTTTTCAAACCGCTTCATTCAAAACGAGGGAAGGGAAGAGGAGGGGGAAGAGGGGACTGGGGAAAAAAGCAATGCCTAAGTGCACCTGGGCGCTGCTTCTACAGGCGGTAATGGAACAGGCCGAGGTCTTGGATCAGGGTGGAATCTGCCCTCCGGATGCCACCTACAAACAGGCTCGAGCACATTGATGAAACTGTTCAGCTGAAGCGATTCCTGTCAATACGATGAGCGCTGGCTGGAAAGCACAGGCTGTACAAATGCCCTACTTTAAAGCCTCGGCACGAGGAAGAGAAAACAAAATATTTTTAAACAACAAAACCAGACAGTCGGTCCTACGCAGTCTCCCTCCTTCCCTCAAAATAATCTCATCTTGCTCTCCCCACTTCCCATGCCTGGCACTCAGCACAGGTCAGCTTCCGTGGGCAGACACGAGTGGAGGGAGCTGGTTTTAGGGCACTACGTGGGGTTTGCATCCTCACTTCTGCTTGGGCACAGGACGGCTCTCAGGCCTCCTCCGCCTTCAGCTGCTTTTCATTTTTCCCTGGGCTGGCCACCGAGCAGCAACATTTGTCTGGACGCTGTAGAAAAGTGACTTTCCCAAAAAAATAAATTAAAAATTATGAGGGGAAGATGACAATAGAGAAAAGCCTCGCAGAGAGGGAGCTGCCTTTTTTCCACAGTACTTCCTGCTGGGGAGATGCTGCCTAAGTGGCAAAATGTCATTATTCTTTCACTACATGTATTCAAGGTCTGATCCTGCCCCCTGTGAAGCCGATGCCAAACTTGCCATTGCACCACTGGGCCCGGAGTGATGGATGCGTTGTGGTGGTGACGGATGCAAATCACCATCTTGGAAACGAGTGGAAGAAATTGGTTCCGATTTAGCCTGTTCAGCATTAGTGGGAGTCGTAAAGCATCAGGAGAGTGCTCCTGTATACAGTGTGGGGGATTTAAAGTTCCTGTTAGAGAAAATGTGCTCAGGTAGAGCCATTTAGCAGTAGTCAGTAGCATTAATTACCTGTGTAAGACACAATATGGCATCAACGCAGCCTTTGGATTCTGTACCCCTCATTAACTGTTTCCCCATTAACCTTGACTGGAATCACATTCTAAGCCTAAGTAGTAAGATTTTTCTTTTTATTTGTGAGCATCCCCATTTCATCCTTGAAGCTCCTCAAATTCTTATTCATTGTAAATGGTCCTGCTTGTAATAAAGTGCTAGTGGAAGTATTTACTGTTTGCTGCTTAATTTTGTCCTCATGGAAGTCGACGGATGCCAGCTCCAACAGTAGTTAATATACCTTTGAGCACATGCTGTGACCTTTCTCCAACTCATGCCTGACTTCATTCTCAGATCTCATTAAACAGGAGAAATTATCCTCTGAAAGAGCAAAACCAGAAATGTGCAGATTTGCCGCAGAGCTACGGAGGACAGCTTGATTTAAAATGCACCGTGGTAAAGGGGAGGGAAGGCGGTGGGGGGAAAGCAAGATCCTTCTCATATTCACGCTCACAGTCATATAAAAATAAAGCTGCATTAAAAAGGAGCAGCTCAGAGAGACGCTGTGTTTGAGGTCTTTTAGCCTCGTTTCTTGGATGTTTTTAGTGTTTGCTCTCGCTAATGCAAGCGATCTGAATGGAGGAGCCCGGCCACTAGGATGCCAGGAATTTTCTACTTGCGCTCTGGCTCAAACACTGCACTGTTTGGAGATGCCTCTTGCATGTTTAGCACCGGAGGGCTTAAGTTCGCATGTGGGCACAATACACTGCTCATATAGCTCCCCTCTTCTCCTATTGCAGAGCTTTATTCTCTATTGTCTGCTGTGGAAGCAAACACCCAAGCAATCCTGTTTTCTAAAACCCAACCAGGCAACTCTCCAAGATTTTCCCCTTTCAGTGAGTATACAGTGGTAGCAAGACACTATTTATGCATTGTCTCCCTAAAGCCTTCTAAACCAAAATTATGGTTTAGTTGCTGAAAGTCGAGTGTGCCTTGGCTGAGATACAACTCTGGGCATTCCAGCAAAGGAAAAAAAGCTGCTCCACAGTGCGCTGGCCTGAGAGAGCCCACAGGAGAACAGCGAGAGCCATCAGGGATCCAGAAAACATGGTCTTGGGCTGGGGGGACTGCACCAGGATGGGGGGGACGTGGCTTGGCATGCAGAGTCTACAGAAGAGCACGAGGACAGGCAGTGACTGCACTGCCTGAGATCAGCCAAAAGCCTGATGCAAAGAGGAAAAAACTCCTTTCTGTGTCCTCTGAGGATAAGGCAAGATATCAAGGGGTTAAGTTACAGCAAGGGAGATGGGGCTTGTCCTTAGGAAAAGCTTTCAAGCAGTAAGAAGAGTCCCTGCTTTGGCACAGACCGCCTGAGGAAGGGTGTCCAATTTCTGTTCCAGGAGGTTTTTAAGAACAGGTTTGCTGCATATCTGTCAAGGAGGGTTAGATCTAGTTGATCCTGCCTTGGGGAAAGAGACAAGGCTAAATAACTTATTGTCCTTTCTAGCCTCGTTTGCTGGGGCTCAGTGACACATCTTGCTATACTAATACCAGCCACTAAACTAGGTAGAGTTAAAAAAAGCACAAGCTTCTAGTAGGGCAGCCCAGTAAACTCTTTGTATATAGGAAGAGTTTAATAGCACCTAAGTGCGAAACTTATTCTACAAATCCTGACCTAGAAGTTTGCAGGAGCCTTGATCCCTGGGCTTCTTAGACTTGAGCAGAGCTGGGTGCTGATAATCCCTCCCCAGTTTCCAATTTCAGGCCTCAGGAATGACTGTAAGAAAAAATGGTGCTGTCCTTGGAAGGCTTCCTACACAAAGAGCAGTATTTGTAACTACCTGGTACGTACAAGTATAGCTATAACATACAAAGCACATAAGAACAAATGTTAAAAGCTAGGAAGTCCCAGCCTAGCTGGTAGCACTTTTACAGCGAGCAAAAAGAAAAATCTCAGCAGCTCTGACCAGATCCTGAATCAGCATAAATTCTTTAGACCACTACTAAGATGGTGTTGTCAAGTTTAAGCTAAATTTATCATGTGTATCCACTGCAACAGTGAGTCAGTTATTCCTCCCTGATTGCTGAGGTTTGTTGTTGTTTTGTTGTTATTGTTTTTAATCACTTTTGCATCTTGCCAAATAAAAGCAGAAAGCTTTGGAGTATTTGCCAACCACTGGTACAGGTAGGTAAACAGATCTGAATGCTTGTGGTCTCCTTCATTTGAAACTTGGCCCTCGGTTTTCCAAACAATGCCAAGGGAATAATTTGGTATTTTTAGTTGTCTTAGAAATATCCAAGCCTTGCATTTTTAAATACAGAAGGCAAGCTTCAGATTGGGCCCTTCTGATTCCATCAGCTTTTACTTATTATTTTTAAATGGCCTTTAGGGAGGTTTTTTTGTTCCCCTTTATGATTCAACCTCTGTTTTCACTGCTAGCTAGATCTGTTGCCTCTCCACAGAATACCTACAAAACAGACACACACTCAGGTGTTACCTCTGAAATAAGAGCTTGTGTTCAGCTGTGGAGAACACCTTTTGGGTATAAACAGCTAAAGAAAGGCTGTAGCACCTCATCTCACTTGAGATGCTTGTCACAAGAGTAACCAAGTATATTTTAATTTCCATACCATTAGGCCACTGCCAGCATTTGATCAACTTGTTCTTCTGTAACATTGGGAGCTGACAGATACACAGTTTGTACCACTTCTGGTCTTAAGAGGTGAGCGCAGTTGTGAGCAGGTAACTATCTCATTATTAGAAGAGTCACTGCAGTCCTGTGTCATCCTCATTGCTGGTAAGAAGAACATCCATGGAAAAAAGGAGAATCAACATAAGAGACTTGGAAGAGAGCATATTCTAAGGAACACTGGAAAAAAAAGAGAATATACACAGAGTGAAAAAAGAAAAAAAAAAAAAAAGAAAGAAAGAAAGGAAGCCAGGGTTAGAAATAGCACATGAAAGTGACCTCTGTCAAGTCATCTCAAAAGAGCCAGAAAGGTGTCTCCTTGGCTCTACTTCTGTGAAGCAACAGCTACATCCAGTGGTCACTGGAGCTAATTGACACGGGGTCCTTGCCAGTATCTTCAGCGACATGGGGGCTTGGGGGTGGGGGAATGTTTTAGTTTTCAATGCAACAGCTCCTGTTTCTGTTCTCAGGCCTGCCCTGTCCCCACGCAGTTCTGGTTTAACTACAGGCGACAGCCCTAACTACCACGACCTGCAGCCATCGTGTATTCTGCTTCTAATCACTCTTTCGCACGGGAAAATCAATTCCGATTTTAACAGCCTCCCAGCATACCTTAAGGGAAGGTATCTGCTGGTGATGCGTGTGCCAGTTCAGGGAAACCTGGTGGCTGTTTAAGGACAGTCGCCTGTTCTGCAGCGGAGT